CACAAGTTCTTTTCTCATTCATGATCAGAGGGGTGTTTCATTATTCTGATTACATTTATGAAAATAGGCTGGCCCTGATTTCACTAAGTAATCCCTACCATAGGGCAAAAACAGTGAAGGCATTCCTTGGAGAAAGACACATTCAGTCCATGTCATGGCCTGCAAATAGTCCAGATCTCAACCCAATTGAAAACCTGTGGTGGAAACTGAAAAAAATGGTCCATAAGAAGCTCCGACCTGCAAAGCTGATCTGGTAACTGCTAAGAGAGTTGGCACCAAACTGATGAAGAATACTGTTTGTCTTTCATCAAGTCCATGCCTCAGAGACTGCAGCCGTTATAAAAGCCAAAGGTGGTGCAACTAAATACTAGTGATGTACAGTATGTTGAATGGTCTTTTGTTTATCTGTTTTTCATGATTCCATACTTTTTTCCTCAGAATTGAGTGATTCCATATTTTTTTCCCTGTTCTTGGTCAATAAAAATAACATTCACTGACTTCCACAATGTTTTCTCTTCATTTCTCTGAGTGTTCCTGAAAGCCAACAAGTTTCACTTTGGAATGACCTTATTATTGTATCATGTTTTTGATCTGAGTTTGTTTTACAGAATGAAATGTCTGAATGAGTGCTCATCKYAGACTGCTGATTCCAGACTTTTTGCCAGGGGTTGTAGAATAAGTGGAGGTGGACTTTTTAGAGGAGGTCTAACGGGTCTTTGAGGACCAGAATTTTTGCTGATTGGCAGGTATTCAAATACTGATTTTCCTCAAAGTGCAAATGTTGATTTCAAAATAAAACTTGAGAAATAATTTGAAACAATACAAACAATATAAACACAAAATGTAATAATCTGTTCAAAGATAATGTTAACATTAATTATTAGAATTGTAATAATAATTATATAAATTTCATTCTCAACTGGGAGTTTTATTTTATTTTTTTCATTTTGCAGAGKAACTTTAATGTGTGGGTCCCGATCAGACTGACCCGAGGAACAAAAACCAGATGGACCTTCTCCAGTGGTTCAAACACAAATTAACTTTGATCTGAAACAGTTTATAATTTTATTCTAACACTGATCTGATGAGGTTTCATAAAAGTTTCACATTTTACACTGATTTAGACTCTGTGAAGAGTTCAAACATTAATTTACCACCACCCAGTGGACACAGTCATGTAACGTCTGTCAGAGCTTAGAAGTTGAAGAAACCATTAAAAAATGCTCAATGTTAAAGTTTTATTAACATTAAAAAGTTTTATTTAAAGCAGTTAACAGCCTGACATGTTATTCAGATATATATATATTAAATATTTATGAACTTCATGGATTAGAAGTGAAAGATTGTGAAATGATCAGGTTGTGGAACTAAAAGCAGCAGATAAACACAGGAGGTGGTTTTACTTTAAATTAAACAATAAAAAAGCTTTTAAATATTTTACCTGATGAATGATGATCAGTTTGTTTGAACATTCAGTTTACCTCTGATTTCTAAATCATAAAAAACATTTATTGGTAATAATAAAGAGGAAAAACATGACATCACTTCCTTCTTCTTCAAATAGCTCCGCCCTCTTTTGGGGGAAGTGAAATATCAAACTTGTTGGTGTGAAAGTAGAAACAGAGTTATTTTGTAGAATATATATTATATTGTATTAATGTTAAATTTTATATGATTTAAACACTGGTTCACCACGGTTAGTTTGTTGTTTATTAAAATTAGTTTAATGTTATTTTCTTTGACAACAACAAYTAAAGCAGCTTAATAAAGACGTGGTGATTGTGAGAAACGACTCTTCGGACCACTGGGTGGCGACGTTGGTCTGATCAGAATTTATAAATGTTTGTCAGAAAAACACGATCATTTATTAAACTTTTCTGACAGATCATAATATTTCTCTTTAAACCAGCCGGTCTGTAGTTTTTGGCTCACTGGTCCAGGGTTGATCCCGGTTCAGACTTGGGGTCTTCTCTTCGTGCTTGTGTGGGTTTTCTCTGGTTTCCTCCCACAAATTAAATCATACAATAGGTCACCTACAGGCTGCAAATTAACCTGGTTTAATAAAATTAATAGTTTTATTTGATGCTGTTACTTTGAGCTGAATTTAGCTTCAAACAAAGAGGTTGGTTGTTTTCAGGCAAAAAGGGGCGGGGCTTTAGATAAACACCTGGATGTGTTGCTCCACTCTGTTTCTCAGTGGGAGTGGATATTTAAATATTTTCCATTAAAGCAAACATGTTGAGCTCAGCAGTTTGAACCTTTCAAAAAGGTAATAAACATATTTTAGGTTCACACCTTGTCAGTAAACATTTTTCTAGATTTCGGAGGAAAACGAGGTTTTGAGAGGAGTGAAACGGAGAAGAGGGTCACTGTTTGRTTCAGAGCTGCTTTGTGGGGGCGTTCTGCTGGAACATGGCAGCCAGAACAAAACAAATATTCGCCCACTCATTAGTGCAGTCACGCACCAGTCTGAAGCAAACACAAAGGTTTTAAACACAAACTGAAGAATAAAAACACGTTCTGTGGTGGCTTTTCAMCTCAGGTTTTACAAGAAAAACCAACCGAGGCCAACGTAAACCCATAAATTCAGACTGGTTCATTCAACTTTCAGTTTAGTTGTTTGGTTGTTAAACTTTGCTGCTGCTGTAGATGGTCAATAAAAAATAACTGAACACAGAAATCCTCTCTAATGGTTATTATAAATTATGAGATAAATAAATATCTTTTATTAGCTTTGTTTTTTATTTTATCTTCATCAAAGCTTAAAGTGTCTGTAGATCAAACCTTTAATTTGCCATATTTAAAGTTAAATATTAAACATTATACTTCTATATAAACTTCTGGTAGTTTTAATGTTTAGCATGTAGCTTAGCTTTGTAGCATGTTTAGCTAATCAATGTTTTGTGTTGTTTTCATGTTAAATATTGTTTGGTTAGTTTGTTGATTAATATCAAATGWTTATTTTATTCATTTCCATGTTTTGCATTAGGGACTTTCACTACTTTTATTAAATTTAGCTTCTTGAATGAAAACTTTTGGTTTTAATCACAAAAAGCTTCAAAACCTGCTTCTAATTTACCTGCTGAATTATAAATGAGCAGTTTTTGTATCATCATTTGAATAATTTTCATTCTCAAAATTGAGAAACATTTATTTTCTGTTAATTGAAACCATTAAAATGAGTGTTATTTTTAATCAAACACACAAATATTTGAGTTGAAAGTAAACTTTAATAGAACTGGTGTACTGCAGCTATAATCAAACTTTAATTAATTGGATAATCTTTTGTTCSGTTCTAATTAATTGAATTTTAAACATCAGTGCGTTCAGTTTGTGTCGCTGGAAGCAGCGTTTAGTTTTAGTGTTGTGCAGTGACCGCAGGAACATCTCCAACTTGTTTAGGATTGATTATTAACTGAGTAAGATGGGGGGCAGCAGTTGTTGGGTCCAGGCACTACGCTGCACAGCCTGCAGCTCCGCCACATCTCTTTTATTATWATAACCTCCTGTTTCAAACACGTTTTACTCCACAGAGACCAGGTGAGTTCACATCATCTCTTATTTCCAGCATCTTCTCTGAGCTGTTGTCAACTCTGCCGAATTTATTCTTTTTATAAGTTTTGTGATTAGTTAAAGTTTCCACTCACATTAAGCCTCAGACACGAGAWGGTGCAGTTGTTTGTTCTGGATTTGATTCTCGTACAGAACCAGAACATTGGGTTTTTATTCTAAAGAGCTGGATTCATGTTCGGTTCTGAAACAGTAACCTTTAGTCTTGTGGTAAACAGTYTGTGAACCCTGCAGGGATTCAGCTCTGAACACATGATGGTGATTACACCATCTGTGCTGAGGAAGGATTTTACCCACAGAGCTGTTTACTTTGGGTCGAAGTTGAATATTTAAAAAAAACACTGATTGTTGAAAAATGATATTAAGTCCAGAGAGAGAAATTAGACCAAATTAAGATCAGTTCTGGACTTTAATATAAGCAGAACATTAAACTCATTTAATGTTTGAAATCTTAAAAAATACTGAGAAAACTGGTTCCAGTGTTCACGAACAACCTCCGTGTCAAAAACTCAATGACCTGATGAGACTGAGCAGCTGGGACACAAGACAGAACGGACATTTGTAGGAGTCAGGCTGAGACTTTCAGAGCTCAGGGCACGGTGGTGGCAGCATCATGCTGCAGTCAGGAAATCAGGTTGAACCTCCAAATTCTTCAACTCCACCTCCAACAAACCACTGCACAGTAGGGACCCAGCTGAACCCAACAGGACAATGGTTTCAAAGACACCATCAGAACTGGTTTCTGATTGGATGAACCAGGCTGATGGTCTTACCAAAGCCTCGACCCAGTAAAGGTTTGTGGACTCWGACTAAAAGCTGGATCTGTAAAACCAGTGAGTTTGGCTGAAAGGCTCAGGTACCACCTGCTGAGAGACTGATCCCAATAAACACAAACATGTTTTTAAAAATGATTTCTGTTTGCTGTGATGATGCAGAAATCTTTAAAATCTATAAATGATTCAGATATTTGTGCTCATGATTGTTTATCTGTCCACACATTTCTGTTTTGTTAAAGTTTGACWGCGTTAAATGAAGTGAACGTATTCTGTAAATGTTTCTGTTTTCAGGCTGATTGTTTGGAAATGAAGTTGTGTCTTTTCCTCCTGCTGTGTCTCCTCCACCTGGTTGGGACTGTAAGAAGAGTTTTACACTTTCCATGCACTGACAGCTGAAACATGATGTCTGTTTGAGCTGAGCCCACTCATCTGTCTRCATCAGGAGGAGCTCAGCCCAGCAGCTCCAGAGCTCTCCAGCTCCACGAACGAAGACGAAAAGAAGAAGGTTCACACCTGTGGAGGAGCGTTCAGCCGTGAGGACCACAGGGGGATAGGGGGCGCTGTAGAGCAGCTGGGTTTAAAGCTGCTTGAGAAGCTTCCTGTCAGCCCACAGCAGCCCAACGTCATCCTCTCACCCCTCAGCTTGGCTTTTGCTCTCGCTCATCTCACCTTAGGTTGGTCACATTTTATTCAACTCATTTTATTCAACCTCCTGATGGAAGTCATCGTTAACCCCGAGGAGTCTCGACAGCGTTCTTAAAGAACATGTTGTTTTTCAGGTGCTCAKAATGAGACAAAGAAACTTCTTCTACAGAGTCTTCATGCCCAAAACCTGCCGTGTTACCATCAGGTCCTGGGCAGCCTCGTGCCTCATTTAAACCACACATCATTGGCTGTAGCAGCACGAATATACCTGAGACCAGGTTTGAGATGGTGAATGCTGCGGTGGTGGTGATTGTTTATCACATTTTCATAAGTTTTATGTAAATTACATTTTCATTTATTGTCTTTCTCTTTACGCCAGGATTTGAAGTGAAGAGGTCTTTTGTTGAGGATTCTTTAGCCAGGTGAGCCTTGTTTGGAAAACACTTGGGAAGGACTTTTCTATTTCGTCACATTTGTCATMAACCCTAACCCTACCCGTTCTCAGGTACCAATCGCAGCCTTTCCCCCTGCTCTCTGTGGACGAGGTCAACCAATGGGTGGAGAACGTTACCAATGGCCACATCCCAAACTTCCTGGAAAGTCTTCCACATGATGTAGTGCTCATGCTCATGAACGCTGTTTACTTCAAAGGTGAACTTTCCACCAAGCACTTCTCAGTTCACAAGTTCATACTTGGAAAAATATTCTCCCAACATGATAGTTTCCTGTTTTGTTTTATTGCAACCTGGAATTTAAATAACAGGCAGACAAGTTGTAAACTACAGTAAACTAAAGACAAATAAATACGGATCTGAATTTCAGTCGTTTATCAGAATGAGGGTTTCTCTGTTTGTCAGARGCTTGGAAGACCCAGTTTGACCCCCTGGTGACCTCGAAGGGAGTGTTTTATCTGGACAACCAGAACTCTGTCTCAGTGGACATGATGAAATCTGCACAGTACCCTCTACGGATGATGGGTGATCCAGACCTGCAGGCACAGGTAACTCCAGCTTTCACTGGGAGTCCACAAACATCAAATACTGAAGTTGTAACTTTTATTATTTTACTTCAGTGCACCCAATGAAATGAATGGAGAAACTCTATTTCATCAACATCGTCCACCTAAAAATATAATTTAAACTTTAAACAAGTCTGAAGTCATCAGATTATCACCAAATATTCATTTTTTATGTCTTCTACTGTTTTTGTTAAAATCACAGTTTAATTATCACAGATTTTATTTGTTTTATATCGTTTATGTGTATCTATGGGCTGAGTTGTTGGAATGGATGACATCATGAGTCACAGCTTTACAAATTTTCACGTTTTTGCTAAATAAACTCTTCATACTGACATTTTGTACTGCATAAATYGATTTTACATCAACTCGTAGATATTTTTGTCTTCTTGTCTCACAGCTGTAGGACTGATGGTTTTCTCTAAAATCCCTCAGAGGTCAGAGTCCCAAACTCTCATTGAGTTCCTCTGTAAAGACTAATTCATTCAGCTCTGAACATTTATGCGTAAAAGTGCATCCTCTCCTGTTCAGGATTAATGATCTCTTTCTGTGAAAAATCCACACAAATAAAGCAGATTTTTAAAATCTTTTGTCCAGGTTGCCAGTTTCCCCTTCAAGGGAAACACCAGCTTTTTAGTGGTCCTGCCCAGAGGAAACGTGTCCTCGGTGCTTCACAAACTGAACATTTCGGACCTCTACAGACGTCTACCTCAGGAACAAACCATGATGGTTAATTTACCCAAAGTGAAGCTTGAATTCCGCCAGGAGCTGGAGGAGGCACTGACCAAGCTGGGTAAGAGCACTGATGTACCATAATGTGATGCACTAGCCACAACATTAGGGTATGGGACACMCGTAGGTTCGGTCTTCTTGTCTTTGGCTCAGTTCCGGTCCACAAGGAGCCCTGAAGCAGCAGTACCAACTGTTTATTGGACTAGTTTAAAAAAGACAATATTTTGCCCCATCAGGATTTAGTTCCACCCATGCTGCCCCCTGACTGAACTTCAGGTGGAAACTGGGCTGTGACTGTTGGAGATCTGTTGGTGATAGGGATGGGTACCGATACTGATTCCCAGGTACTGGATATTGGTACTGAATCGATTCACATGTCAAAGGTACCATCCCTAGTTGGTGACTCAAAGTTGTGAGAAACTTTTAACCAATAAATCTTACAGCTGTGTCTCAAATCACTGATGTTTTTGTGTCCACAACCTACAAAGTTATACTTTAGAACAATATTACGTTGTTTTGTGTCTGTTGTGTGGCCAATGGTGGAGCAGAAGTTAGAAAACACCCTGTAATCAAGAGGTTGCAGGTTCAAATCCTTGGATTGTTAAGAATTCAGGTGGGAAAGGTGAAACATCCACATCTCCTTGAGCAAGACCCTTATGCTGCATTCACACTGAACGCAATTTCAGCGTCAAAATCGCGTCCAAGTTGGACGCTTGTGCACTTTGAGGTCAGACGTGAGTCAGGATTGATCTTGAAGTGCGTTGAGAGCCTCCCCCTCTGTCGGCCTCTGTTTAATGTTGGATGAAATAAAGAAAGTGGCTTTGCTTTATTTACTGAGAGCATGACAATGCAAGACGTTCTAAGTTTGGTGAGTTTCATCACCCAGGAGCTGCGAGCTAACGAGGCTCGCTTTCAGAACTATTTTTGTCCCAAGTCCAYTTTGATGAGCCGTTGACCTGCATTGGTGCTGATATCTTCTGCCAGGACACAAACTACAGGCACTTGATTTCAGCTAAAGAGCTCCTGTCCATCTGTCTCAGGTTAGTGAACATCATTCACGAAACTYTCCTGTTGGAAAATGTGTCACTGCGTCACACAGTGGAGTCTCTCTGATTGGTTGACGCACTGCGTCGAGCTGCAAAATTCAGATTTTCCAACACCAGCATTCAACGTGCTCGACATGCAATTCGCATGTCGAACGCTCAAATCATTCTAATCGCACCGCTCTAATCACGCTKGACGCGTCACAGCACTTCCCAACGCTGCATGACATGCGTCCACCGTAGTCTTTGCATGTAAACCTGATGCACCTGATGCTGAAATCATGTTAGTTGTGAACGCAGCATTAACCTTACCCCAGTGACACCTGAAGAAGTGAGTCCACAATGTGCCCACATAGTTCACCAACTCTTAATGCAATGATGTGCTATGTATTGTTATGTAATGATGAAAGTTGTGCTCTGCATTTGACCCAGGCTTGGTTAGGATTAGGGTAAACCCTATGTGTGTGCCCAGGGAGCTTAGGGACAAGGTTTCTTGCTCAAGGACACCATGACATGTGGATTTGGTGGGTAATCAAACCGACGACCGTCCTACCATTGTACCACAGCTGCCCCACCAACTAGTCCCCAACAGTCCAAGCCTGGTCAGATACTGGTTTCAGTATGGAATGAAGAGGGGATCTAGGGACAGGCTTTGACACATGAAACTTTAGGGATTTCAAAGCTTGGGACACTAACGTTCTTTTCAGGTCCAGCTGAGTCAGAGCTAAGATGTCAACATGTGAAGGGTCATTAACTACCCTTTTCTGTCTTGATGGGTGTCTCTGGCAGGACTGGGTTCTCTGTTTTCTGGTCCTGATCTCTCTGGGATCTCAGTCGAGCCCCTCCGGGTGTCGAGTGTCCGTCACGCCACAACCGTGGAACTCAGCGAAGAAGGAGTTGAAGCGTCCGCCACCACGGTTGTAACCACCACGCGCTCCATGAACCACTTCTCTGTAAACTCTCCGTTCCTCTTCGCCCTCATTGACGATGAGTCTCTGGTCCCCCTCTTCATGGGCGTGGTCACAAACCCRGCCCCCAACAATGACCCTATGCTCAACGATGATCCCCATGGCAACAGTACGATGAACGACCAGCCTGTGACCGAGAAAAGCAGCGTAAGTGTGGAACACATAAACAAACTMCCAGCAGAGGGCAGCAGCGTGACATCCTGCAGCGCCCCCAGTGGAGAAGAGATGCCACCGCAGGTGGACCAGGAGAAACAGCAGACTCAAGGAGACGAAGCCTGCTCCGTACGGGACAATGCTGTCCCAGTCTGAGACCTTCGTCTCAAAGAAACAGGAAGTGTTAGAAGAATCAAATTTCATGTCTTTCAGGTAAAAACAACCCGTTAGCTTAAATGCTAAATTAAAGACTGGACTTCAAGTTTTGCTGTTTAACGTCACTTGTTTCGTCTCTTTTGACTCCATAAGAAAGAAACAAACATGGACAAAAACAATTTACCTTTCCATTGATCAGCAAAGTTTTATTTTTTTATTTGTTACACTTTTTGTTTTTTAGGCATGAGGTTTGGACTTGATTGAATGTAAAAAAAAAACCTTTTCAGTGAATAAAAATCTTTTTACATTTGAAAAAGTAGAGTTGTTTTTACTTGAATCAGACGTAAAAAAAGGGTTTCAGCTGTTTTAAATCTTTAATAGAACACGTATGTTTTAAAATAAAATACATGGTTTTCCACTCTGCCTTCAGAAGACCACATCAGACGTTTGAAATATTTAAACGTTTTACTTGATTTATAGCATTTTATTTAACTTCTATAGTTTAAAACARCTCAGAGAGAAAATAGTTATTTTTAAACTCTGCAGCTTGTGTCTGCCAGGCGCCCCCGCACTTCGAGCATGCGCAGATCAGTGAGGGTGGGCTGAGGGTGTGGGGTGGGGCGAGGGTCCTCATCAMCAGACAGACCTGGACAGACGTGGACCCGTCCGGACCGGAGAGGTGAGTGCTGCTTCTGAACTTTATATCTTTATGTATGAAACTAAAGATCTTCGCAGCCTGGTTCAGACCTGCACCAGTTTGTGGTTCTGAATGTGGATCAGACCGGCTGTAAACTGGATCAGAACTGTTGAGGGTCTGGATGTTTTGGACTTTAATTAAAACCTGTTTCAGGCTCAGAAACATTTGACTCTCTACCTCCAGCTGTCAGCAGACAGAACCAAATCGGAACAAACTTTTCCACCAGGTCCGTTTTCCCTCTCAGCTCTCATGGACCAGCATCTTGTTGGTTCTGAACATTTTAACATTTATTTCTTCTGTCGTAAATATTTTTTAATATTTGATCAGTTCAACAAATATTTCTGTGAGTTCACGTTAAATAATGTTTTTATATCTGACAGTTAAATCAGGACAGAAGCCAYACTTTAATCCTGAATCTGAAGAAACAAACTTCATGTTTCAGGTTCTCCTTCAACATCAGGTGAGTTAAAGCTTCAGTCAGCAGGTTAGGGGTCAAAGGTCATGATGACAGATTTGTCTAATCAGAAGGAACCACAAGACTTCTGAACCAGAACCAGAACAGCTCCTCCCAGCTGTCAGCAGGAATGATGGAGGGATGATGGTCTGATGAGTGGACTCTGTAGATCAGAGGGTTCTGGATGTGAGTCCATCTGTCTGACAGCTGAAGCTTGGACCAAACTGGGTCCAACAAAACCATGATCCAGAACACAGCAGCTGGTCTAAAAGAACAGAAACAAGGTGCTGCAACAGTCCAGAACCTGAACCTGACTGGAACTCTGTGCTGGACCTTCAGAGAGCTGAACACAGTCCAGCAATGGAAAGAAGAGCGAGCCAAAAACATGAGAGAGAAATAAAAATTATATAACATCTTCATTTTTTTAAAAATTTTATTTAACATAAAACAGATCAGAAGCAAAAAACAAAACAAAAAAAACTACAAAAACGTAGTTTTTTTCATCTGAATTGATGTTTTTGTAAAAGAAAGAAGATCAGAGTTTCTGTCAGAATCAGGAAAAAATCTGCTCAATAAGTCGTCTGGGTTTCCCATCAAACATGATCTGTGTGTGTGTGTGTGTGTGTGTGTGTGTGTGTGTACGGGTTTTCATGACATACGAGGACCATTTTAAGACAAAACACCAACACATGGGGACCTAAATGCCATTGGTGGGTGGGGGTTGGGTTTAGGACCAAGGTGTGAATTGAGTTTAGGTTAGTGTTAGGGTCAGGTAGGTACCTGTGAGGTTAGGGTTAGGGTAGGGGGTCAAGGTTCGGCTGTAGAAATGTAATGGAAGTCAATGGAATGTCCCCACATGTATATATGGACACAGCTCTGTGTGTGTTTTCTCTGTGGTTTTACAAACCAGGAGAAGATCCAGATGTGTGTGGAACAAAAGCATCATTGTGTGTTTTTGGTGTTTAAGTGAAACCAGACTGAGACTCAGCAGCTGAAAGAAAACCACCATGACCAGGATTTAGACTTGGCCGGTTCTGATTGGACCGTTTTGTGGTGTTTCTCTCTGCAGTTGAAATATTTTGTGGTTCTGCCCATCATCACCATCTCCATATTTAAAACCAACCCTGAAAGATTTGATCTTTAACAAAGACTCAGACTGAAGAAGGTTCTGCCTGTACTGTATGTACTATAWGTTCTGTCTTTGGTACAAATACTACAGTAATTATACATCAAACTGAGGATGTGTGTTTTTAATGTCTTCTACAGTTCCTGTATGAAATGATCTGAGCTCAGACAGTTAGAAGTTMATGTCTGGATCCTGTGCTGCAGCTCTTTGTGACCCTTGCTGTGCTTTTATTTCAGGATGAAGAGAACAACGTTCCTGCTGGGGTTTGCAGTCGTRCTGAGCTCCTGCTGGGCTCAGGTAACGTTCAACACTCGCTCCTGTTCAGACTTTCCATAAAAACTGAAGACAGATGTCTTTAAAACGTGTGGGTTTTTTTATCAGTTCTGGTGCTTTAAGATGATCTGTCACAGTCAGGCTCTTCTATWAAGAGAAGAAAACTTGATGGAACAAAGTTCAAATGTTGGTCTGAAGATAGAACTAGAATATTTGGAGGTAAAACTTTAATTTTAAAACCATGAGATCAAACACTGCTTTTGGAGACATTCCTTTAGAGAAAAAAACCAAACCTGAAGCCAAAGTTGGAGAGAAAAGACACATTTCAGCATWTTTGTTTTGTGAGTGAAGTTTCCAGATGTTCTGATGGTTTTCTCTGGGGCTGACAGCAGTTGGAGCCGGGAGGCGTGGAGGAAGTTGGAGAAGAGGAAGAACATGTGGAGCTTTTTACCACACCCACAACAAAGATGGGGGCGGCGACCTCAGACTTCGGCTACAATCTGTTCCGCGCACTGTCGAGCCGCGACGCTTCAGCCAACATCTTCCTGTCGCCCATCAGCGTGTCTGCGGCTCTGACCCAGCTGTCCATGGGTGAAGACCTGGACTCAGTCCAAACTCTCACCATAATCAGAGTGAAACCAGTTTTCTCARAAAGAAWCACATGTTTCTGTTGTAACAGGGAACTAAAACCATAAAGTCTCATGAAAGAGAACTGACAGAAAGCCTGGTTATACGTGAACCCACCTGACACTCCCCTCCTGTCCTGCAGGAGCTTCTGACAATGCTCAGAGCCAGCTGTACCGAGCCCTGAGGTACCACACCCTGCAGGACCCTCAGCTCCACAACACCCTGAAGGACCTGCTGGCTTCGGTCCAGACTGCAGAGAAAGGTCTGAGCGGCGCCGCTCGCCTCTACTTGGCTCGACGTGAGTTCACTTCATCAACATTTTGACCCTGACTCCTGAAAACCCCTGAAGGGGGAGAGCTGTATCACTAGCCGTGTTTCCATCAACATTTTTWAATGTTCATTTTGAAGTATCGCATCAGAGAAGGTGAAAGGAAATGGCACAATTTGAAAAAACTTCCTCTAATTCACAAAAACCATTATARGCTCACTTGAAGTGGTTTTTGGGCTTTTCGAAGAAAAGTTAATGCTCAAACGGAGAGATGAAGACACATTTGCTGAATAAGTTCTGATGTAGTGAACATTTACCTCACGTGGTTGATCAGCCGTTCCTGCAGTCTGTTCGGTACCAGGCAGAACCGGTATCAGAGCAACTGGCAGCTGAACCCTCCCCCGCTGTCAACGTCTTCTCAGTTATTCCCGTAACAAGAAGAGAATTGCATTTCTCCACGTCTCCAGACAGCGGTAACATCACCAGAACTAGTTGAAATGACWGATAGTAGAAACGTTCCTGATAACTTCTCTCCAGAGAGTTTGTTACTTCTACTTCCTGTTTACTACAGGCTTGCATCTGACATAATCACACTTTGCATAGCCTGGTTGATTCGCTTCAAGCCAGTTGACGGAAACTTTTCTTATTCGCATTTCTTTTTTTTTTTTACTTTTATTCCCTTTTTTATTTAAAAAATTTGCTCAAAATTCAAATTAAATTTAGATGGGAACACAGCTAGTAAAACCTAAGAAAGATTACAGGAACCAGAAACCTYTGGTCCAGTTGGAGGGTCTGACTGACAAAATAAGACCAAGTCATGACCAGAGTCTTTTACAACATGTCATCATCTGTAAAACATGTGACCGATCTAATGGTCTGGTTTTCAGGACTTCGTCTGAAGCAGGACTTCTTCAAGCTGGTGGAGCAGCAGTACGGGGTCCGGCCCAAACCCTTACAGGGAGGATCTAAAGACCAGAAGGAAATCAATGACTGGGTGTCTCAGCAGACAGGAAGGAAGGTTCAGCAGTTCCTGACCAAACCCCTGCCCCGTACAGCCGGGGTTTACGCTGTGAGCGCCGCCTACTTTAAAGGTATCACCTGGTCTCACATGTAAAGGAAAAGAACCGGTTTACTGGGTCAGCTGGATCTGTTCCTACAGAAACCGGGTCTATAGTCTGAGAGCTACAGTGTGTTAAATGAAGGATGATGCAACATTAGAAACCAAACAAATTGACTGTATCTAAATTTGAAAAAAGTTACTGAGTTAATGAAATGCTGGCAGCAGATTTCCCTCCTGTAGATCCATGAGTTCAAAGGGTCCAGCTACAGGACCACCAGAGTCCTGCTACAGGACCACCAGAGAGTCCTGTATGGTTATTTTTGTTCTTAATTCTCAAAGTTGAGAGGGATTCATTTCCACGCCAGCTGCCTTTATTYCATGTTAGCCGTTTCTCAGGCTCCACCTCCAGAATCAAACCCTGATTTTTTGCAGCTGTGATAGACACAAAGCGTGACATGTTTTATTCTATATTTAATCATGTTTATCAATTTTGAGTTAAGGTTTAAAGTTTAACAGTCAAATCTGCTGTAAAAAGATTTTCRAACATTCTGGTTCTGAACATCAGGGAAGTGGGCGACCCGCTTCAGTCAGAGCGGAGCTCTGGAGAACTTCCAGGTGGTTGGTGGGGCTCCAGTCCAGATTCCCATGATGCAACAGGACAACTACCCTGTGAAGATGGGGGTGGACTCGGACCTGGGCTGCACGGTGGGTGCTGCGGCCGATGAGCTTCAGGTGTTTCCTTCACAGAGAGTCAAGGTTGGTTGTCCTCCTGCAGATCACTCAGATCCAGATGCAGAACGACGTCAGCATGTTCGTCTTCCTGCCTGACGAGGTGACGACCAACACATCTCTGCTGGAGGAGAGTCTGACTGCAGAGTTCGTTCAGGACCTGTCCATGGCGCTCCAACCTGCCCAGGTGTCCCTGACTCTTCCTGTTCTGAGGTTCAGCTACTCCACAGACCTGCTGCCTCTGCTGGGAGAGCTCGGTGAGTCCGAGTCAGTTAACAGAACAAGGATCAAACTTAGGATGGGTGAGGAGGTGGAGCTGTGACCCACTGATCTCTTCATCCTCCTCCTCTTCCTCCCTGCAGGTCTCGCTGAGTGGCTGGAGAACCAAGATCTGACAAAGATCTCCACTCAGGCCGCCAAACTCGGCAGCGTCAACCACAAGGTGGTCATGGAGACAGCCCCTGAGGGTAACCAGTACCCCAGTGCCGCCTCCACAACCTCCCACCTGACGTACCGAGTGGACCGGCCCTTTGTCTACGTGATCCGGGARGAACCATCGGGGGCGTTGCTGTTCATCGGCAAGGTGGTCAACCCCAAAGACCTGACAATATAACACACACACACATACCCACAATCTGGTACAGCCATCTTTATGGGGACCTGGCATTGACTTCCATTATTCTACAGCCGAACCCTGACCACCAACCCTAACCCTAACCTCACCGGTACCTACCTGACCCTAACCCTAACCTCACCGGTACCTACCTGACCCTAAACTAACCTAAACTCAATTCACACCTTGGTCCTAAACTGAACCCCTGACCCATCAACAGCATTTCCCCTTAAGAGGACTCAGGTACCCATAAGTACCAGTCAGGTACCCATAAGTACCAGTCAGGTACCCATAAGTACC